AAGGCTATTATACCTTTACTAAAATACAAAATCCAAAATTACAAAATTCCACAACTTTCTTTGTGCAAGACCACACCAACCAAAATCCATTTTATCTTCCTTACAAACCCATTTCACACAAATTCTTCATCTTCTCCAAAAATTCTCAACACTCAAAACCCTCTAATCTTACTAAAACATGCAAATGGATAACATTATGGAGTCACGAGACATCACTGTGGAGAATTCTATAGACTAAATAGAAAACAAACTATGAATGAATGTTTTTTATAGTTAGGTGATCGATTTTTTAAGTTTCCGAAAAAACAAAATTCGCGCAGTCAAAATTCGACATATACATGTCGATTTTTGTCACAAAATTCTACATTTAGACGTTGATTTTTTAGCAAGAAAACGACATCAACTCTAGATGTCGATTTTTTGGCGAAAAATTGACATGTATATGTCGAATTTTGTTGCAAAAAACGACATGTACATGTCGAATTTTCGCCAAACGATCAACATCTAGATTTTTGCCAGATGTCGATTTTTCAACAAAAACTCAACATGTACAGGTCGAATTTTCTTCTTTTTCTTCATTTTCTTCTTCTTCTTCTTCTCCTTGTTCTTCATCTTCTTCTTCTTCTTCTTCTTAATGCTCTTTTTCTTCTTCTCCTCCTCCTTCTCCTCCTTCCTTTTTTCTTCATCTTCTTCTTCTTTTCCTCTTCAAGCACCGGCGGTTGGGCGGCGGCAATTCTTCTTTTATCCCGGTAGAGCATTCCTTCTCGTTTTTCATTTTCTCTCTCTCTCTCTTTTTTTTTCTTTTTTGGTCTTGCAATAGCAATTAGGCATTTTTTAACTTTTTTGAATTAATAATATCAAAATCAATTTTTATTGGGGTTATATTTCTAATTTTCAGTCTTGCTCTTAGTAAATTTATTTATATTTTGGTCTTGCACATAAAGTAGGTCTTTCCCTTAGAAATTTTGAGATTGCAAATAGGTGCAGTTTATTTTAAATTAATTAAATTACATACAAAGAATTAAATCAACCGTCTTCACTAAAATCTCCATTATAATCCTTCTCAAAATACAAATCCACAAGCCGGAATAATCTTCGCCGGCACGGCCAATCCTCCGCCGCCGATATGTTTCTATCAATTTTGGTTCGTCGACGGACGACGATGAAAGAACAATTACTTGCATCCATCGAAGGCCACAACAACCGTCACACCCGTAGTAGCTCCGGCAACAGCCGCAATGGCGATTTCAGTAGTATGCGGCGGCGGCGGCGGCGGAACTCGATTAATTCGGCAACCACCTATGTGTATATATGCATTCATTCTGTCATAGCAATTTACTGTTTCTGGTTAGATAATGCCTCAGATTTATTATGAAGTATTATCTCCTTTTGGGATTTGTTGAGGAAATTAAAATAATTTGTGAGTTTATTATAGGGCAAAGGACAGTTTACACCCCTGTACTATGAGAGTTGTACCACTTTGCCCCCTGTACTATAAAACGTCCCAATTACCCCCCTCCGTTTAACTTCTGTTTGTGAAAGCTGACGTGGCACTTTGACTTTATTGCTTATAGCCGTTTTTGTACCGTTGGATATTTTATGACGATTTTACCCCTTCATTCAAGTATATATATGTGTGTGTGTTGAAGTCCTTTTCACAAGCTCATTTTTTCCTATTTTTTTGCTAAATTGCTGCATTTTTGGTCAAGTCTTTTTGCTCCATCTTTTTTGGGTTTTTTTTTTCTCAATTTTATTTTCTCATTTTTTCCTCATTATTTAACGATTGAAAAACCATTGTTTTTTTCTTAAAGAAATTATTAAAATGTCCGGTAGCAGCTCAAATACCGAATTTTTTTGTATTTCATGTTACAAAGTCTATGCATTATTTGTCTCGTTTTTTAAGAACAACATGTAAATGCCAAAAAAATGCAGTAATTCGAACAACTTGGACAATCAACAACCCAGGTAGAAGATTTGCAGGCTGTCTAAATTGGGATGTAAGTTATTTTTCATAGCACATTCATTTACATTTTCATTGAAAAATCACATATCTATCTGTGTACAATCTAATACACATTTCTCGACAGAAGCCACATGGTTGCAAATTTTTTGAGTGGATTGAGCCTCCAATTTGTCTAAAGGGACTAAAGATTGGGCAAGGATTTCATCGATTCTTGGATCAAAAGAATGAAAAGATCAAGATACTAGAGGCTGAGAATGAAAAATTAAAGTTGAACAATTAGGAAGTTCATGAAATTGCTCTTAATATGACAAGAGCAAACAAGGAAATGATGAGCAGAATTCATACTTTAGAATTTAAAGTGTCCATGTACAATAAGATATTTAGAATTGTCAAGACGTTTGTAATATTTATATGCTTCATAGTCCTATGTAAATGGGTTACGAAAAACTCTGAAAATAAAAAAGAGGGTCCTTTGTACCTACACTAAACTATTTCAATGAAGTTGCAATTTTCTCAAGCATAAGTACATAGCCACCAATTAAGTTCACATCCTCAAAATACAAGTCAAAATACTTCAGTCACCAAAATACATTAATGAACACTTCCAAAATACATCAAAGATTTAATAATCACCAAAATACATCAAAATGTTTTACAACTGCCAAAATGCATTAAGTACCAAAGAAACAGTAAAGACAAAAAAGATTCAAAAAATTACACAAAATACCAAGCTTTTTAGGATTCCCCAATATCAGTGATGACAGCAAATCTGTTTGAATTTGATTTTTTTGAACTTGACCTGTTGGAGAACAATACACTTCCAAACCTTGTGTTGTGCACTTGCATCTATATGAATGCACATTATATGAGAAAAATGTCCAACATTAATTCAGTAAACAGTAAACATATACATAAACAATAAACATATGCACGAAAAAAAAAAAGAATAATAGTTGAATATATTCATTACCTGTATATCTCCACCATCTGAAAAGTTATTAACCTGAACATGTGACCTATTATTCTCTCCACTTTGTATTGGATGTCTGAATTGATTAAACATTCCGTTTCCATTCCAATTTCCAACTCCCCCTTGTGGACCATTTGCATTGCCTCTTCTACATGTGCCTTTTTTACCCCTAACAGGTTGTGTGGATGCAGAAGGCCTACTACTATTTTGTCCAAGTTGCATTGCAGGCCTGTTACTTTGGCTTTGGCCAGGTTGTGTAGTTGCAGAATGTGAAGTCGTTGCACCAGTGGTTGTTCCATTATTTTGCACAGATGTTCCCTAAAAAAATATATAAGTTAAGACACTCATCAATTGAAATACCATAGTAAATTAATAAGTATGTACTACCTAGCACATCACCTTATTTCTTTTTATTCGTTTCTTTCTTGGTTGTTCTGGAGGGGGCTTTTTGCATCTTCGTATGTTATGAGTAATGTCACCACAATTTGAACAAGCTTGTACAACTCCTCTTCTTGTTACTTTGCCATCAATATTGATCTCATCCAACCCTTTCTTTCTCATTTTTTTGGGCCTACCAGTTTGCTTTTTGAAAGAAGGGGGCAGAATTGAAAGTGCTTGATCTTGGTTAGGTAAGGCTGACCACTGTTCGTGGTCTGTCACAGGATTCATTATGTGACTGTAAGATTTTTTATAGTATTCAACAGAGTAATAGAAGCTCACAAAGTCATCTGGCTCTTTGTGTTCATTCAGAATAGCACAACATGCATGTCCACATGGGATCCCGGTCATATCCCATTCTTTACAGCTACATTTCTGTTTTTTTAAATCAACAGACCAAGCTTTTGATCCTTTAGTAACTTCCCACAAACCCTCTGCAGCCATAAAGCATTCAAAGTCAAGTGACTTGACTTTTGTGTTGTTTAGTTTATCTCGTATCCTAGGACGGTATTTGGAGAAATTTATTGAAGATCCCACTATGTCTATCAAGGCATTCAAGAATTTGGTTAGGAAAGAGGTCATGATTTATGCACATAGGAAAAAACTGTACAGGGCCAAAAGAAAAGCAATTGAAAAAATTCAGGGCAATGTATATGAACAATATTCCAGAGTACGCCAGTATTGCCATGAAATTTTGAAAACAAATCCTGGTTCAACTGCAATTGTTAAGGTTCAAGGGCCTCCTTTGTACAGAGAACTTAGATTTCAAAGAATGTTTGTACTGTACGATGCACTTAAGAAGGGTTTTGTTGAGGGGTGTAGACCAATTATAGGACTTGATGCATGTTTTCTCAAGAGTCCTTTTAAGGGACAACTTATGGCTGTTGTTGGTAGAGATGGAAACAATCAAATGTTTCCTTTGACTGTTGCAGAGGTGGAGACTGAGTGTAGAGAGAGTTGGAGCTGGTTCTTAAATCTAATGATTCACTCTTTTGGCAGTTTTGACGTAACTAGATGCACATTTATTTCTGATAGGCAGAAGGGTTTAGTTGAAAGTTTCCATTCAATCATGCCACACACTGAACACAGATTTTGTGTGAGGCATTTGTATGCAAATTTTAAACTGAGATTCAAAGATAAAGCTTTCAAAGATATAATGTGGAGTGCAGCTTGTTCTTATTCTGAGGAAGACTTTACCAAACACATGAATGAGTTAAAGGCTTTATCAAATGAGGCATATGAATGGTTGATGAACATCCCTACCCCTCAATGGTGCAAGTTTTCTATGTCACCAAGGCCTAAGTGTGTCATGTTAAGCAACAATCTATGTGAATCATTTAACAACTACATCAAAGAAGCAAGAGAGATGCCTATTCTTACAATGATGGAAGCTTTAAGAAGACAGTTGATGTGCAGAATTCAAATCAAGAGGCAGTGGATAGAAAAGTTCAATGGTAAAATCGATTTGCAAGGTAAGTGGAATTGGCACTGTAGTTCTGAAAGGATCTAGGACACATGTGAGGCTCACCTTTGATAGTCTTGATTTGATATGTAGATGATTTACCCATCAAACTTGCGTGTATCCTCCACCCACATTTATTTTTACAACATGCTGTCACTCTTGTTCTCTCATTTTTTTTCAACTGTGAGTTCAAATCCCTTCTTAACTGAAAACTGCCTCAAAGCTTTTCTATAAACTGCAGAGTTGGCAAAAACAAGACCTACTTCGTGCTTTGGATCGATTAGATCAGTCCCTTCATTAAACTCTGGAAATTTCTCTCCCATATACTCATCATCAGAGTCACTAGGTTCTGACAAAAATTCGGGATTACTCTGAATTTCTTTTTCACCAGTATTAAATGCAGGCTCATTGTTTGAGACTCCATCAATTACTCTATGAGTTGCAGCTATATTATTTTCTAAAGGATACTCACTGTCACTCAAGGTGTCACCTTCAGCAAAGTATTCAAAGTCAGACATGCTATCATCATCAGTGTCACTATCGTCACAATCTATGTTTGCATCATATGAAGGATCACTATCAGTTTCCTCCCCAAAATCCAAGTTAGTTCCCAAATTATTACTAACTCCTAACTCAGTTTGAACCCCCAAATCAATTTCAACTCCCATATCATTTCTAACCCCTAAGGCATTATTATCTACTTCATACGATGACAATACAGATAGTGATGCTTCAATGTCAACAGTATCAATGAACATATCAACCTCATACACTTTAGCAGCAGCAAATATTTTGAACATCTCCATAACACCAACATCATCACCAATAATTTTTAATTCATTTTTCTTGGGCAGTTTATACCAAACTACAGTATTCACGGGATATTTCATTTCTTTAACACTGCCTAGTATTTCAAAATATGACATTAAGTCAGGATCAACATTTTCCTCGAAATGAACATTACCCCCAACATATGTGAAGTCTGAATCAGATAATGTCCCTCCATGATGAAATCTTATGGTGTAAAATTGATCAAACATGTGTTTCCTGCACAAAAATCAACAAAACTGAAATTTTAAAAACAATACCAAAAGAAAATACCTACAATTACAACATCAATCATAAAAATGAAAAAATTCCCAAAAAATAAATACAGTTGTAAAAATCAAGTAAACCCTAAGTTTAATTCATTCACAATTTCTTATCAAAATCGACAAATACATCAAGTATTATACAAATACTAAGTTTCACACAACAAACCCTCAATCAAAATTCAACCCCTAAACCCTTAAACGAAATTACAAACAAAGACGAGAAAAACCCAAGAAATACGACTAACCTTTGCCACAGGTCTTCAAATGTCTTCTGTCCGAATTTTCGTCGGTTAATTAGCTACCAAATGTTCGATGATGTTTGATTTTTAGACGATGGCAAGATTCTAAGAAGAACAAATCACATTTTTTTCCCAGAGTGTTTTCTGCTTTGTTATGGTGTTCTCGTAAGTGAAATTGTGAGATAGTGGAGAAGGAAAGGTGGGTCAGCATACTATTTTACACTGATAAGGGCAGATATGTAATTGCACCTTTAAACTAACGGTGTTAATAATTTAACGTTTGACCACAAATAAAAAGGGGGTAATTGGAACGTTTTATAGTACAGGGGGCAAAGTGGTACAACCCTCATAGTACAGGGGTGTAAACTGTCATTTGCCTTTTATTATACTAAAATGATTTGTGCAGGCACATATTAAACAGTCAGGCACATTTTTTACCAATTTTCAAAAAACAAAAAGTAAAAAACTCAACAACTCTCTCTACCCTTTCGATTTTCTTTCGCAAAGCCCGTGCAAATCGTCAACAGATCGGAGGTAATTTTTACGTTTTTACGATCCTCTTGTTATGTAGATTACGAATCCGAAAAAAAAACGAAAAAAATCGAAACTTGGCAACGCTCGCCTGAATTTACGCGAGCGCATCCACTGCGCTCGCGTAAATTCAGGCGAGCGTTTAAATATTTTTTTTTTATATAAATTTATTTCTTAAAAAAATCGGTTTTTTGGGTTGCTCGCGTGGATTTACACGAGCGCATCCACTGACTTCGCGAGAGTCCACGCAAACACTAAGATGTGTGTGCTATAAATTTCCGACAGAAGGAAATAATCAATCAACT